TGCAAAACCAAACACAAAATAGTCGTGTCGAAAGATCCTGAGGCAAGGCGCGTAGCCGAGACCTCCGTGAACTCAAGACGAACACAAACAAAGATGATCACCGAGTGTTCAAACGGTGATGTCCAAATGTTGAGGACGGTCAAAAAGGAGTGTCTACAGACGTCTTATTCTATAAAATAATATTAATAATAAGTCATAACTATATTATCAATTCACATATATCAAAAGAAATAATAACAATATAAAAAATACTCAAACATCCATCCAAAAAAAAAAAACTTCAAATCAACTCCCAAAACAAAGATAGTTAACAGATATATATTTATTATCAATTTAATTGGAAAAAAAATATATTGGGAAAAAAAAGTCATATAGAGGGAAAAAAATACTCACACGAAAATATATATTTAAAAAAAAAATTTACAAACAAACAAACTTGAAATAAGTTTGGACTATTGGCAAAGAGAGAGAATAACCATTACATCATTACATTTGGAGAGGAGTTGGCCGAGTTGGAAAAATCAAATATTGAGTATTTTAAAGAGAGAATTGTATTAAAATTTTAATTTGATTGAGTTTTAAAATTTTGAATTTATATTATTTTCGAAAAAGGTGAGAGTAGGATGAAGGTGACTTACCATATTATTTTGAATTTTGAAATTCAAAATCATAGATAATTAGTCTCTTTATTTATTTTTTATTTGAATTGTTTTGATCAATATTATTTTTGAAAAGAGTGGGGGTAACTTATCATATTGTTTTGAATTTTTAAAATTCAAAATTGTAGATAATTAGAACTTTTTTTATTTTTGGATTTTTTACTTAAGGAACTAATCAATGGATTTTTTTTTTATTATTTCTTTAAAAATTAACAAATTAACAAAATTAGTTTGAGAGTTTAGAACTTCCAATCATTTTTCTTAAAAAAACTATTTTTCTTATATATATAGATTAGTAGGACGCTAAGATTAAGCCACGTGGACGGTTAAGATGGAAGTCTATCTTCGGTGTAATTTGGTGTCAACATTATTAAAATATGAGCCGAAACTAAAAATTAAAAGTTTTAAAAAAGGAAAGTGATACAAAGTTCTAATTGTAGAGTTTTCCTTATATAGCGGTCTCTTGGTAACAAGTTAAAAAAGTTAGTTTTTTGACTTTTTAATTTTTTTACATAAAAAAGTCAATTTTTTTGTCAAAAAAGTCATTAAAAAGTCAAAAAGTTAGTTTTTTACTAACTACTCAAAACATTCCACATATAGATTAGTGGGACACTAAGATTAAGCCACGTGAACCGTTAAGATGAAGGTCTATCTTCGGTGTAATTTAGTGTCAAATTTATCAAAAATCTGAGCCAAAACTAAAAATTAAAAGTCTTAAAAAAAAGAAAGTGATATAAAATTCCAATTGTGGAGTTTTAATTCGAGCTCCATATAGCTGATAGAAAAATAAATAAAATAAAATAAAAATAAGCATAACCATCCCATTATAAGTGAATCTCACCTAATCGTGCTCTTCTGAAACTTTTTTTAAAGCTTCAAGGTATTTCTGTTTAAAAAATCATATCGGCAGATCGAAATAAGGAACAAAAAGACCATAAAGTGACTCTTCAATTCGCTGCGATTGGTGGATTCGATTTCAGCAGTTATTCTTACACCCTGATATAATGAGAGATGGAGAAATTGAGAAGAGATAGAGAGACTTCACTGATGATAGATGTCAAATCATTGTGCTATTTCTTGAAAATGACAAAAATAAGGAAAGTGAAATAGTTTACCTTATTTCTATGATGTCAACACTCACCAGGACGGATCCAGCATTCGATCATTAGGGAGCTAAAAACAAATGCATGAAGATAAGTGAGGTTAGATTTAAAGTAATGGATTTTCATGTAATAAATAATTGTGATTTTTCATGCTATTAATTAGAAATGGATAAAATTTTATTTTTATTAAATATTTGATGTAACATTAATATTATGTTATAGCATCACTAATCAATGAGAGTTTTTATATTGCAGTAGCGATAAATAATGATGGGGCTAATGAGATACAAAAATGGTGAGCTTAATTTCATTTATAAAGTGAATAATATAATTAAAAATATATTTTAGAACATAATAGGTTATGGAGTTATCATGGTCTGCGCTCTTTAGAAGGTGCATATTAACCATAACAAATTGCAACTTCTTTGGCCAAAATAGTTTGTAACGTTTTGCATCACAAATAATTTGTAAGATTTACACTACACCGTTCATAACGTAACTACAATAATTCATAACTTTCACTTTCACTTTAGAGATGCACACCATAAATTAACTACTTATAACATTTACTACACATAACACTACAAATATTCTAAACTTTCATGAAAAAAGAAATCATATATTTCTTATAATAACATTTTTTTTATATATTATACTATCATTGTATTATAAAGAACTATTAAAAAAAATAGTTAAAATTATAAGATGAAAGGAGGTCGATAGGAGAAGTTGGTGTGCTGAACATATATATAGCAAAGCATCTTGTGCAAAGCAGGGGGCCAGGGCCCTGTAGGTCTGCATGTAGTTCCGTCCCTGACTCTCACTGATAATGTTAAACTCTCAATTTAATAGTGAGAGCTAACTAATCTATTTAAGTTTTTAAGACAAATTATTAATAGGTCTTAATAGTTGAATTTAATTCTCATCAAATTTTATTGAAAATAAGTCTTCGTAAAATTGTCGTTAAAAATAATTTTTTTGTGACAATTTTTTATATATGTCACTAAAAATTGGCAATTAGTGACATTTTCTTATCAAGATTTTTGCAAATTGTCGTTAAAAATTATAATTAGTAACTTTTTTATGACAAATTTTTCTTATAAGACCTATTAGACAATAAATTGAATTATTAAGACCTATACGTAAGTATCCCAATTTTTTATTACTTTTTTTGCTAGGAAGATGTACTTCAATTTTGTTATTTAAACTGAATATCTAATACAGGAAGGACACATGGAGCATCAATGCATAAAATTTGGTTAGTTCGATTTTGACGGGTCAACTAACTCAAATATAGATGTTCAAAAAAAAAAAAAAACTAACTCAAATATAGAATTTCTCTAGAAAATCAATTCACCTACTCTTACTTGCCCAAAAAAAAATTCACCTACTATGTCATTTCTCTTTCTCAAATTTTAATTTTCAGTTTTTAATTAATTAAACGATTTTTGTTAAGATGATTTTAGAAAAATTTATTAGAAAGTCTTATTTTAAGAATTTTTGTACTGTTTAGTCTCAAGTTTTAAATGATTAATTGAGAAGTCTTTATTAGGTGTAATGTGTCATCAGTAAGTCCTTTTTCAAATATGGATGAGTATTGGTTAGACAGATATACCGTCATTAGTTAATTGGGGAATTTTTATTTTTTATTTTTTGAAATGTGTGATAGGTATGGTGTGATACTCTAATCTGACAAGTATTAATATGACACTCCAACGATAGGACAATATGGCAGGTATAATGTAACACTCTAAAATTTTTACTCATTCTTAGTGTACTTTTTCTAAATGTGACAACGTGATAGGTATGATGTGACACTCTAAAAAAATAAAAATTCATTTATGTACTTTTTTCAAATGTGATAATATGGCAGGTATGTTGTGACACTTTAAAAAAAAATTAAAAAACTCTTTAGTATACTTTTCATAAACATGATATGTGACACTCCAACGTGACGAACCCAATTTGATTGAATTACTGCATGTCTTTACGTCATGTGCCAAAAAATAATTAGTAAGGAATTCACGTCCCATACTGCGAGTGTTAAAAACAACCAAACTTTAAAAAGTTACTAGTGCATTTTTCAAACAATGTGACACACAAATACCCACCACCTTCTCATTGATAAAAACTCCTTAGTGTACTTTTCTTAAAAGTGACATGTGACATTCCAACGTGACGGACCAAATTTGATTGAATTACTGCGTATCTTCACGTCATGTGCCAAAAAATAATTAGTAAGGAATTCACGTCCCACATTGCACGTGTTAAAAACAATCAAATTTTAAAAAGCTACTAGTGCGATTTTCGAATAATGTGATACACAAACATCCCACCACCTTCCCCATACATAATTATGCCACCGTCTCCCAACTATACTAACAATGGCAAAACAGTCAATAAATAATTTAAGGGACCACTCAGTCACCAAAAAAACATTTAGGACCTTATAGATTACAAGTTTACAAAACGGGATTTACTGATCAATTCCCCCATGATTTTAATGTCTCTAATGAAACTTTTAGCAAAAATAAAAAAATAATTAAAAAAGGTTTGTCGAAATTCATTGTGTTGTCGGAGAAAAAGAAAAAGAAAAAAAAAAGTAATTAAAAAAAATAATTTATTGGAATCCATGGTGTTGTTTTAGGGAAAAAAAGAAGCTTAAAAAAAAATCGTCCAAATCCATTGTATTGAGAAAAAAAAGAAGAAGAAGAACTTTGTAGAAGAGTAAGAAGAAGAAAGAAAAGAGATTACAAAAAAGTAAGGTAGAAGGAGGGAGAGAGAATGAATAAGGGAAGATGAATAATAGAGAGAAGAGTAATGTTAGAGATCTTAAAAATTTTATTGAAATTTTTATTAAATGACTTATATGAGTATGAGACTCACACAAGGTGAGTATCATGTGTTGGATTTATTTCCTAGTGTGGCCCAATAGCCTACATATTTTTACATATTTAATTTTATTTGGACTCCACAATTAGATAAAGCCAATATTATATATAAAGTTCAGTAATTATAATTTTAATATAATTACTCTTCTAAGATAAAAAGGAAACCTTGATAGATTAGGAATTCTTCTGATAGAGTTTATCTGGCCCTCTTCTCTCCTCTATATGATAAGTATTTTCCATCACTCTAAGTTTTATAGTCATCCTAATTAAGAGAGACAGAGAGAAGAAGGTGAGCCAAGAATTAAAGGTTCAACTCTAAGGGGTATTTTCTCAACTTTTCTAATTCAATGGCTAACAAAGGTATGTTCATTTTATTCTTGAGTTGTATTGAATTCAAGATCCTGTAAAATTTAATTCCGCATTATTATTGGTTACATGTATTATTAAAACTTACATGTGGTATCAGAGCTTTCGTTTTGTGAATCAATTCACCTTGGAATAATATATATTTATAAATATTATTATTATAATTATTCATAAAACATACTTTTGTTTTTATTTAAATGATTTTTACATAGTGCTCCTATTTAAGTTAGGCACGAAATTCTTCGAGCCTCTTTCCACAGAGATGCGGCCTTGGAAACAAATGGTGAGTAATACAAGCCACGTTACGAGTGGTGAATGGCATGTAAATGTGAATATGCATGTTTTGATTTATTATTAATTTTAAACAATAATAATAATTATTATAATCATCATAATTATAATAAAGTGCATAGATTAAAAGCAATCTTAGAATTTTGTTGAATCATTGGGTCTATTAAATAAATATATTTATTTGATTGTATCATATTAGAGGGTTATGTTTTTGCCTTGTTTAATTATGCAATTGTCTATTATTGTTAAATATTTATATATTTTCATGATTTAAAATTGATATCATGATATAATTTTATGACATTGAATATTAAATATTAAAGTGGTTAATTCATATTAGGTGTAATTCTTATTAACCATTATTTTAGATATTCATGATTGTTATAATACATATATAAATATTCCTGTTCATCCAGAGTTATTATTATTATATTGGTAATAGCAATCACATAAAAGAAATTTTAGAAATCATAAAAATAGTGATCTCATTAAAATTGTGATTGAATTAATGATAATTAAATAACTCAAAATTAATGAATAGAGAATATTGTTAGTTAGTTCCGTATTCATAGGGTTTACTAATTTAGTAGCTGCCAAAGTGGCCTAGATTTGTAAAACTTATGAATATAGAACTACATAAAAGAATTGTTAAAAAGGGTAACATTAAGGTCGATAATATTCTCAATTGCAGTTATAATTAGGAGATTGAGACTAGCCCAAAGGAGAGTCACTTTCAAATAATTATAAACTAGGTAGGATAATGTAACTTATGTAATTTGAAAGATTAGAATTGAATACCCAAAGGTAACATGACTAGCTGAAAAATTGCATAAATTACTTTAGACCTACATAAGTGATTCTTGACGAGTGGACAATAGATATACCTAAGTTTTGCCCAAAGGAAAGACTTATGTGATATCAATAGTTCATCATAATTCTCAAAGCTTTAATATGTATATTGTTCTATCTTATTTCAGTGAAAGTTCCCACCTCATTGCACTCTCTTGCATCGGGTGTTCCTCTACTTACTGGCTCGAATTTTTTGGAATGGTATGAACATGTTCAGTTTAGACTGGGTGTGTTGGACCTCGTTATGGCATTGCTTGAAGATAAACCTGCAGACATTAATGAATATAGTACTGCAGAACAAGTTGCCCTTTCTAAATCTTGGAAAAGGACCAATAGACTCAGTTTGATGTTCATGAAGTTGACCATTGCAAATAACATCAAGACCTCCTTACCTCAAACTGTTAATGCATTGGAATACTTACAGGCTGTTGAAGATCGATTTAGACCTACTGACAAGTCACTTGCTGGCACTATTATGGCTGAATTGACAACAATGAAATATGATGGCAACCGAGGAGTTCAGGATCACATCCTCAATATGGCTGACAAAGCCGCAAAGCTTAAAACTAGCAACTCCTAGAGTTGGATCTTCAACTCACTCAGCTCGGCTGGGGCAAAACGATAAGGTGCCATGGAAATCAACGCCGTGTCGGGCGCTAAGTCAATAGAGAACTCGATCTCTCAATGAGGTGGTAAACTAACAAGGTCTTCGGGAAAAACATCCGAAAACTCGCAAACCACTCTCGGCAATACAGTCTGGGTCTCATCACGCTCACTACTCATAAAGCTAGCGAGGAGACCACTAAGCTCACTCCGCCCTCGTGGATCATATACTGGTGGTAACACACTGCCAACCTGATCCCCCAAGAAATGGAAACAATTCCCGCTCAAGGTACAAATAGTGACCCTCTGGCGGTAACAATCAATAACTGCCCGGTATGACGATAACCAGTCCATACCCAAAATAACATCAAAACCCAACATAGCCATAACTATAAATGAAAATGGAAGTCGGCGGTCGGCGACCTCTATATCGCACCCTCTACACCCTTGTTTCAAAATTAACTCACCCCCGACAGGTGATACAACACAAATAAGAGATGCTAATTGCGCCAACTCCAACCCCAAAACAGATTCAAATGCAACAGATATAAAGGAATGAGATGCACCCGTATCAACCAACACATTGGCAACCAAGTTGCAAGACAAAAGGTACCTCTCACAACAGATGGAGCCGGTACTAGATCCTGCGCGGTAACAGCATACACATGCCCTGTAGGCCCCTGATCTACCTGCTCACCTCTCGGAGCAAAAGACTGGTGCACAGACTGAGACGATGAGCCCCCTGATTGGCCCTCGAGGCCTGAACAGACTGTGCTGGCTGCGAACTCTACGTCTGTCTCGAACCAAACGCACCGGGTGTACCACCCAACTGTGGGTAGAACCTCTTCAGGTGCCCTGCCTGACCACACTGGTAACAAGAGGACGATCGGCCTCTACCTTGACTCTGGCTCTGAGGTCGAGCCAAAGATGAAGCTGCTCCCTGACCTCCTCCCCTCTGCGGGCAAGCTGGAGACTTGTGGCCCAGCTGACCACATTTGAAACAGGTAAAGTCTTCCTGGCTGCCTCTCCCTAAACCTGAACTCGACACTGGAAAGGTAGATCTCGCTAAAGCACTCTGGGACTCCTGAGGGTTAGAACTCCTCTGCCTGCTACCATCCCCCTGGCCGTCCTGACTCCTCTTGGAGCCCCTCATCCTCTCCTCCTTCTCCATCATAGTCTCCATATGGGTCGTAGCATCCACAAGACGCCCATACTCCCAGATCATAGAACCCCCAGCTCTCATCTTGAGGCCATGCCTCAACTTCCTCTCAAACTCGATACAACAGCGTTCCTCAGACGCCACAAGCTCAGGTGCGAACTTGGATAAGCTAGTAAATGCGACCTCAAACTCGGCCACTAATAAACTCAGCTGCTTGAGCTGACAAAACTGATCCCTCAGCTTCTCCCTGACAGCTGGGGCTAAGAACTTCTCCTGGAAAGTATCTACAAAGGCCTCCCATGTACCACCAACACGACCCCTCATGAACTTCCACCACTGACTCGCATCCCCTTTAAGCTGGAAAGATGCCAAAGTCACCTTCAATGCCCCGTCTTCGATGCCAATCATCTCAAACATCTTAGTCATCTGCTCCAACCACTCATCAGCCTTAAGTGGCTCTTTAGGATCCCCAACAAACTCATCCGGATTAGACCGGAAGAACTCCCTCTTCAGAAAGGAAGGCCCTACATCAATAACCTGGGCCTGAACTGGATTCTCAGCTCTGAGAATGCCTATGGATTCCCTCATAGCTCCTGCTATCTCGCGGGCTAAGGCACCTATGGCCTATTGCCCCACTGGCTCGGCCACATTGGCCTGGCCAACACCCTCCTGCTGTGCCGGAACCTCCTCCGGTATAGGCATCTCCTGCCTTCTAGGCCTACCTCGCCTACCACCACATCCTCGTCCTGACATCCTAATAAAGGTAACGAAGAACATTAGCACATTCACATATGTGCCGAAGCTATAACACTCACGTCCTAATGCAATGGACAACTGTAATTCATTCCACGTAAGCACATAATCACATAAGCACATAAGCACCTACGAATTTCATTTCTGAATAATGATAGTCCTGAGGTGTTACTAGAGTTCCGGTTAGAAACAGCATTGATCAAGTGCTTTTCCAACAAGACTCACAGAAATCCAAGGATTCAATCAATATCCTATAAACTAAATCCCATACCCAAATAGTCACATAAACATGTTATCACATAAGCATATAACACTACATCTAAGTCTCTATCAAGCGAGACGCACCCATTGTGGTACTAACCACTTCCCGCGTACCCAAAGTATTCGAACCCGGTACGCTTTGATACCAAGTTGTAACGCCCTAAAAAATAAACCCATCATAACATACATTCACGATAAATAGAAGAGATTTCATATTACAATCATCAGAGTATTCTTACAAAAGGTATTACATATTGACAATAAAAGTAAATGCCCTATAGGCTTACAATTTTCCAAGTCAACACTTGGTTACAAAAAAGAGAGTACTAACTCTACACAAAATAAGCCCTTGGCTTGATATACATGTAATACAACAAAACAAGAAAAAGGAATCTGACAGCCTCAAGCCTTCCAAGCTACGTCCTTGGAGGTGGCATAACACCTGTACCTGAAAATGATGTCCCATATAGGGTGAGCCAATGCCCAGTAGAGATATGCTAAACATAATATCAGCAATAACTAAAACATTAGCACTTGATAAATGTTTAACTCATATAAACCAACATACAGTACAATCCAGTGCCATAATCCTTCACTTAACAAAACTCAACTTATAAACACGGCTCAGAACCTGGCCAAACAACTTAAGCGAGACTACATCTCAAGCCAACAATACTTCAAACTACCATTTCACGGAAATTGCGTCGCGAGATTCGGCACCCATGTGTAATTATTTTCTCATGGCCATTTCACGGAAATTTCATCCACGGGACTCGACACCCATGTATAGATGTTTTCGGATTGCCATTTTACGGAAATTTCATCCGCGGGATCTGGCACCCATGTATAGATATTTTTGAATTGTCATTTTATGAAAATTTCGTCCGCGGGATTCGGCACCCATGTGTAACTATTTTCGAATGGCCATTTTACGAAAATTTTATCCGCGGGATTTGGCACCCATGTATTCAAATACTCAACTTGATTAGTTTTAATTCACCTAATCATCATGCAGTGTCTACAACAATCAAGATTATCCTCCACCGATAGCCCAAAACAATTATTTCTAAACAGATAATAAATGCACCAACAGGTAAATTATCAACAATTTCAAAGATGAGTGATTAATGAATCCAATTCCACCATTCTACCTCATAATGAGTCAATTTCATTATTCCCAACTCAATTTCATAATTCCATAACATTCCCAAATTAATTATATAAATTAACTCATAGCAAAAATTAGGGCTTTCTCCCCTTTTTTCTCTACAATGACCCAAAGGTTCCAAATATCCTGAACAACAACAACAACATCATTTTAAGACCCAAGATACACATTATGAGTCAAAATAACCAAACCCCTCTTTATTCATTTTGAAACCCTAACACCCCAAAATTACCCAATATCAACATTACATCAAAATGACCAATAGTTTATGTCGAAGACCATAAAAATGAGTAGTTATCCCTACCTCAAGAGATGAAACCCAAAGGAGATGATGAAGAAATCCCGAAGTGCTCCAAATCAAGAAATTTTCGAATTGATAGGAAGCCCACACCAAGCTCTACACTTTTTGTAAAGGCTCAAGGGTAGGAGATCACTCTAACTAGATCAAATCCTAGAGAGAATTTAAGGTTTTAGAGTGAGGTGCTCTCAAATGGTGGTTTTCGAAAAGTAAGAGAGAGAAAGGATATTGAAAAGTGATCCAAAAAGTGAAATCCCGAAGTGATATAAAAGTCTCCCCGCTCGAGCGTGGAAATCTCCGCTCGAGCGTCAGACACAGACTTACGCTCGAGCGTCAAAACGCCCGCTCAAGCGTCGGATGCACACTCACAGAAGTTTTGCAGACGATGATCCTCGCTCGAGCGTCAAACTCCTCGCTCGAGCGGAGGAAGAAAATCAAAAGGTCACGCTCGAGCATCAAAACTCACGCTCGAGCGTACGAAGACCTGCGGAGAAAAATACTGGGAGATGGAAATTCACACTCGAGCGTCAAAACGCCCGCTCGAGCGGAGAAGCAACAACAAAGGGCCCGCTCGAGCGTCAAAAGCCCCGCTCGAGCGTGAAGGCCAAATTTTAGGCATCAACTTTTGGTTTCAAAGCACAACCAACCTGTTTCAAACCTGCCCAACACAACCCAAGACTCAAATACAAAGAGTAAAGGATGGAAATGAGAATGAGACAACAACACATCCACGGAACTGAGTCCGGAATACAATAAATAAAGAGAGGAAAAACCAGGATCGCTACAAATAGGGTTCCTAGTAAGGCGGTCCCAACAACTCCTTTTGAGTTGTGGACTGGTAGGAAACCTAGTTTGAGACACTTACATATTTGGGGTTGTCCAGCATAGGCAAGAATCTTCAACCCACAAGAGAAAAAGTTGGACTCAAGAACAATGTCTGCATATTTCATTGGTTATCTAGACAAGTCTAAAGGGTACAAATTTTATTGTCCTAATCACAGTACGAGGATAGTGGAGACTGGTAATGCTAGATTCCTAGAGAATGGTGAAATTAGTGGGAGTGAGAAAACACGAGTGGTGAATTTCGAGGAAATTAGGGTAGATGTGCCAACATTTGACCCTTATCGAAAAATTGTTGTTCCTCAGACTATTCCACTGACTGAGGGAAATGAACAACATAATGAAAATCCTTCACCACCTCATGTTTCACCACTTCATGAAGATACCACCATTGAAAATATTGTAGAACCACCACAACCGGCAGTTCTGAGAAGATCTCAAAGGGAAAGAAAGCCTGCCATTCCAGATGATTACATGGTGTATCTACAGGAATCTGAT